TGGTTTTTTGATTAGTTTAATAAAAATTCAAAAGCATGTTTCTTGTTTAACGGATTTGAAAAAGTTCCATAGTTTTACAACGCATATTGTACGTTAAAACTTATAAAATTCACACACTTAGTATTTTGTTGCGGTTAAACATACACATTTCGCGTTTTATTTCGGCCACGTGTTCAAACTTTTTATTCATATTACACACCTTAAATACAGTTTACAATATTTTTTGGTGGGCTGGTTAGTCGATTAGTTGGTTGGTTGGCTGGTTTGCTGATTGGTTGGTTTGTTGGTTGGCTGGTTTGCTGATTGGTTGGTTTGTTGGTTGGTTGATTGAAGAAATGAATTAAAGAACGAATAAATAAATGAACGAATGAATGATTGATTGGATGAATATTGATCACACATTACATACATTACAGGTCACAAAACACAACAACAAAGACATGTATGTGGTTTGTGTGTGATCAAATTAAGCTACTATATTTTTTATTATCTATCTATATATATAATATATATATACTATATATATGTATATATATAATATATGTATATAATATATATATATGTATGAAAGTATATATATATATTTATAATAAATCTATAGCTATTTATATATATATAAATCTTATTGTTCTGAAATTCGCTTGATTTTAATAAATTCATTTTATTTTCACTTATCATTTTTACATATTTTTAAATGCAATTCGTCATTATTATTATTATTATTATTGTTATTATTATTATATTCTGAGCGTTCAAATCCTCTCTTTCCTTAGGCATTTAATAAGGTTAATATGTTTTTTTGAGTGAATTAAATAAAGAATTTAATGAATATAAATCTCTGTTGTTTTTTTTATTTAATTTAATGAAATAAAATTCGTAATTTTATATCTGTAGATCGCCTGCGATAAAAATCCTTTCTGATTGGGTAAGGCAGGGGTGGGCAAACTTTTTGCTGTGAGGGCCACATTGAGAACTATTTTACCTTTGAAGGGCCGCATATGTGCTTAAATAGCATATTTTTTCGACCCGGGGGAGAATTTTTTAAGATTTGTGGCTTCTTTTTTTTGGTCATAATGTCTGGCTGTAGTTTGCCCACCTCTGGGGCAAGGCTTTTGTCGGTTGTAAAATTTTCACTGTTTCGTTAAATTCAGTGATTTGGTTCGGTGTTTGTTTGGAATTAGCAGCCTGACTTACTAAGGTTCTATAGTTGCATTCTTGATGTCTTATAATGACGTCACGACTGCATCATAATTAGACTAAGATTGCGTTTTGTTGTGGTAGAAAAGGTTTTCAGGAACCAAAGATATCAATAATTAAGGTCACCAATTCATCAGTGACGTCATTTTTTGGAATACAGTCAGTATCTTTGATCGTTACATTTATTTATTTTTGTTTACATACCGCTATTAAGTCTCTTTTGTTTGTTTATAAATTAAATTAGTTAAAGAAGTAATTTTAAAATGAACTTATTTGATTTATATAGCGGCTCACTAAAATTTCAACCTTGTATAGATATCTCACCGCCGTTAGATCTTAAATATATCATTGATAATAAAGATGATAAAGATGATACTCTCACTAAAGATATCAACGGGGATCAAAAATCTAAGAAGGATAAAACAGAAAAAGGATTGAAAGATAAAAAAAGTAATGATTAGTGAATGAATAAAATCGTTATTAAATGTTGTTATACTCGTTTCGAAATGTTTCTTGATCATCTCCAATTGTCCTTAATCATTTCGTTAATCATCTCTTGGCTTAATCGTTCAAAAAGTATTTCGAAATCCATTTCGAGACCTTAATCATTCTGAAATCATTGAAATCATCTTAATCAATCCACACCTAATCATTGTTGACTTCAGGATTTTTAATCAAATTTAATCAGAGAGTGTTAATCCCAAAGACAAAAAAGGCAAAGAAGATGACGATAGGAAAGGATTCTCAATGGACAGGACTGATAATCTTTCGCCGAAATATATCCTGAAAAATGATTTCGGGATCTTTACTCTCGAAAATAGCGAATTATTATTAAGCAACTCGGAATTCAGATCACTAAACCAATACGAAATGACGCACGGTTTCAATCAACCATTCAATTTGTTTATTTATAATAATAAATCATAATTACAGTCATAATTACGAATAGCGATTTCATTTAGAACTCATTAAATTCAAGGGCAGTTTTGGCATTTTCTATTCTCAAAATCTTGGCCCGGGTTTAGTACAATTAGGTTGATTGGCGGCTCTTTACTTAACCTTACCTTGTTAAAATTGGATGGAATGGTTGGCTGTGGAGATCTTGAACACGAGGAAATAGTTTATTACGATGACTACTTTTCTGGTAAAAACGTCAGTTACTTTCAAAAACAGGGCTGCATAAATGTAATGATTGGCTGATTGATTGGCTGGTGGGTTGATTGATTGATTGGATGGTTGATTGGCTGTGTGATTGATTGACTGATTGGTTAATCGATCGACTGATTTTGATAAAGATATGGTATGCTGATAAAATTGCTTAGTTGTTCATAGTTGATTTTTGAACTGAGATAATGGAGAGGATGAAAAAGAAGAAGAAGATTAATATTTTTTTTAATTTTCATTCAGATCTGCCCGAAAGAATATCTGGAGAGAAATTTCCTAAAAGCCAGAATCGAATTCAAAATTTATAAACTTGTTTCAAAAATAAACGCTTCTGTTGGTGTTCATGATAGTGATGATGATAGTGATGATAATGATGGTGATAGTGGTGATAATAATGATTCTAATGGTAGTGATGATAATGATAATGTGGGTGGTGATGATAATGATGGCGATCTGGAGGGATTGAAAGAAAAGGCTAAAGACGACAGAAAGAATGAAATGTTGAATGTGGCTAGCACGGCTACATCCAGAGATCAAAAACAAAATAATAATAATAAAAATAAGAGCAATACAAATAAAATCAACAAAGAAAACAAAACAAAGAATAAAAAATTGCCACTACCGACGGACCAACAACAGGAAGAAACGGACTATTCGAACGATACACCGAAGCCGATAATTGAATTTCAACTCGAGTACGATAATTTCGACACGGATACTACTCAAAATATCGATCATACCGACAAACTGGTATCCGATTTAGCCAATATACCGACTGCAAACGAGGAAAATGATAAAAAAATGAATTTCAATGACTTTTATCTTCCGCCCATAAAACAGTTTGAAACGAATAGAGGAAAATTTGTGAGTGTTGATGACTATTTGGCAAACCGTTTAAAACTAAAGAAATGCATTTTTTACGATCGGTATTACCGAATGAACGAATATCGTATAGGAGAATTTATTAATGAGAGTTTGATTTCGGCGGAAGATGAATCCGACAGCAAACAAAATGAAACAAATGCTAAAACCGTAACGAAAACTAAAGAAAGAAATCAAAAGAATAAAAATAGGACGCCGCAAAAATCCACTGCAAAAAAGTTAAAGTCGAAAAAAAATGATCAAGAATCGGCAGAAAATATTGAAAAAATCAGTTACAGGACAAAAGAAGACACCGAAAAAGGTTTAAGCCTGCTTGACATTTACGAAAGCAGAATGGAAAAAATATCAAACAGCGTAAAAAATAAACTGACAAGAGATTTTTCAAACAAAAGAGACGACAACGAACAAGAAAAATTATACAAAAAACATGTCAAAACAACAAAATCTCAAACATCAGCAAATAGCAGCTCTACTAAACTTCAGACCAATATCGAAACTGACTCAAAAACCCGAGATCTACCGGTTCAAAAACGCGCTAAGCTCTCTTACCAGGAAGAAATGACCCATGTTCATAAAATCGAAAAATTACCAGTTGAACCCGAAAGAATAATTTTTGGACCAACATGTAGGACTCGGACATTATGGAGCATTCCTGAGCACAGATCGTGCAGCTGTTTCGCCACTACTACATTCTCCGTCCCAGTCAGGCAATACCGCCATCTTGATGACGTCAGAGATATGGAGGAAATGAGGGCAAATTTAGAAGATGACTTGACCCAGATTTTGAATTTAGGCCAGTGTTACGATGGCGAAGATGATTCGTGTGTTGTTGGTGAGGACCCCAAACCACCACCAAAGAATGATGAATTCATGGACAATATAAAAGAAAATGATAAAAAAAATGAAAAAAAATTGAATGAAAAAGTAAGCATAGATAAAAAAACTGGTGCTAAACATATTTTGTCAAAAAAACGTCCTAGCAAGCCAGCCAAATCTGAACAAACCCAAAAAATCAAAACAACCAAAAGAGAAAAATTGAATTTCAACAATGAAAATAGCGATAAAAAACCGGAAACAAGGATAGCAAATCAACCGGAAGAGGATGTAGTAATTCCGGTTCTGCCGTCTTTGATCGATGACGTCATGGATGGGGAAGAGGTGGAGATAAATCTAATGGCCGCAATGAGACAGTAAGTCATTTTATGATGAGCTGTATTAATACTGTTATCCATACTATGATTGTTTAATAATGTCTATATTTAATTATTTTAATAATTATAATAATAATAAATACAATAATAATAATAATAATATAGATTACAAGTCAGGAAAGAAATATTAAGCCTGTGTAGTGAAAGAAAAACTCAGACGTACGTTTTCGTAACATTTAATAAAACATTTAACAATAATTTTCATAAATGCTTTTGAAAATATATCTTTCCTCTCTCTTTCTTTCTTTCTCTCTCTCTCTCTCTCTCTCTTTATATATATATATATATATATATATATATATATAATTTGTGATTATACTGGATAATCACACATCAAATAGCAGTAAAACAACATTAAATAGTTGGCATTAATGTGGTTTTTAGAGATAAATAACACTTAACGATAATAATGACGATTATAGCGCAATAACAGAATAGATAATCTTAAACATGTGTTACACGACAACAAAAAAACATCGAATTGGCACATTCCTTTTTCAACTGGACTCCAGGCTCAGCCTGCCTTATTTACTTCTCACCTCCTAGCTAATTAGGGAAATCTCTGGTCACAATGACAATTGGGACTTTACTGTTTTCTGTTAGTAAAATAGTGGACGAGCTGTTACTACTGCTGCTACCTGTGGTTGTCACTCCATTTAAACTGACACTCTTATCTTGCTGGGGCCTCTTGTTACTAATTAGTTGATTACTACTGCTACTGTCGTCACTTACGTTCTTGGGGCTGGAGTCGAAGTTGATAGAATGATTGAAACTAGGCGGACACAAACTCATTGATCCGTATTTTAAGCTGTCGTCGTCTGAAACCGGAAATAGTGATGATTGGTTGTGGTGTTCTTGGTAAAATAGTTCGGGTTTTTCAAATGACATTCTACGGCGTCTTTGTGAGACGTCCTCGCCCAATAGGAAGTAAGTATTTACTCTTCCCTTGCCCTGATTGGTCGGTTGGTGAGAAGAGGAGTAGTTATGTTTTTAAGGTTATTCTCCACTTTAACTTTAAAACGACTTTAAAGTTTTATTTTAAAATATTTGACAAAAAATATTTAATTCACACTTGAATCGTGTATTAATTACAGTTTTGAAATAAAAAAATGTACTTTAATGCAAATTGAGCCTCGAGCTATCAGATCATAACCTCCTAGTTTCTTCAGCAGTAGCATGCTCTGATCACTACAGTGTATTTTCAGAGCTTGGAACCAAAATAATTATAATAAATTATAATTATTATTAATTATAATAAATTAGTAATAATAATAAACACCCTCTCCAGAAGATTCCATCCGACTCGCTGTATTAACCGTATCGCCGAAGAGGCAGTACCTAGGCATCTTCAAGCCAACAATACCGGCAACCACCGGGCCTAAAAATTAGCATAATCTAATCAAATTAGCATAATCTATTCATAGTCACTAGTTTAACATTCATAATTGGTGGATATTATGTTGATGGCAATGATAATTATGATACGTCATTCATTTATGTAGCGCTCGTCAACAAAACGCCTAACGTTTCATTGTGCACACAATGAGAGGGCGAGCAGTGTAATGCAAGAGAGAGACAGAGAGAAAGACAGAGAGAGACAGGGAGAGAAATTGTGTTTGTGTGTGTGTGGGTGTGTAAAAAATGCTAAATGACCCGAATGAATTCCGATTCTAAGTTTGAGTGTATGCTGTGGTTTGTGTCGAATCCTGAACCCTCTGATGGTGCGTAGAAGCTGCAGGGACATCGAGGCTATCTCGCCTGCATGATTGTTGCCTGGATGAATGAATGAAGGAATGAAATGAATGAATGAATGAATAAATGAATGAATGTATGAAGGAATGAATGAATGAATGAATGAATGAAGGAACGAATAAATGATCGAATAATTAATTGAATGAATTGATGAATCAGTGCATTTATATGAATGAACCTGCAAGACTATGAATGAATGAACAAACGAACAAACAAACAAATAAATAATAATATTAAGAATAATTATCATTAAAATTATTAATAATTATAAAATTATGACCATTCCTAATGGGCAGACCGCTGGCAACCATATAAGCATCGCCGATCGTTTCCACTTTGTAAACATCGAATGCCTCTATGACTGAGTCAAAACTCGTGTATAAGTCATTCAACATGTTCACGATCTTGCCGGGATATTATGAAATAATTTCTTCTTAATACAAATAATTCTGGTTGCAATCGAAATAATTATGACTATAATAAAAAAAATTATGATTTCTTTGTTTTGTTTCTGTTATTTACGCACTCTTTTTTTCTCCTCTCTCTCATTCTCTCACTTTTCAATTTTCCTTCTCTCAATCATGGAAAAAAGAGTAAGATACCTCTAGCGGGGTGGAATCGGCGGATAGTGTCGTAAAGCCGACGATATCCGAGAAGTATATCGTCACCGATTCGTAATGTTCCGGTTGCACCCGCTCGCCTTTCATCAATTGTTCGGCCACCGATCTGTGTGATCAGTGGATGGATGGATGGATGGTTGAATGGATGGATGGTTAAATGGATGGATGGATAAGTAGATGGATGGGTGGAAGGATGGATGGATGAAACAATCAATCAAACAACCAAACTAAAATCATCTCACTCTCTCTCTTTCTCTCTCTCTCTCTCTAACCCACTCATCTTTTGTCTCCTATTTTAATTTCTACGTCCTATCAATCAGTCAAAATGAGAAACACGGTAGACAAACTTAGGCAGCATTCTGAGTAGCAGTGTTTCGGTGGTTTTTTTCTCCTGGGCCAATTGGTAAGTCCTCTCGTCTACAAGGCTCTCCAACGTATTAGCATACTTCTCCATGATTGCCAGCATGTTATCGAAGATGTTGGAACTTCTGTGCATGAATGAATGAATGAGTGAGTGAATGATTGAGTGAAGGAATATGTGAATGGATGAGTGAATGAATGGATGAGTGAATGGATGATTGAATGAATGTTTCATCAAGGACTATTCTTTCAATCTATCGATCTATCCATTAAAATTTAAGCGAATGAAAGAAAAGATTAATCTTTTTTTTTCTACAAATCATTTCATCCATCGATTTACAAATCCACCCATCCATCCATCTATTTATCCTTCATTTATCCAAAAAATCCCTAACAATCCTTCCTGCATGGGCTTCAACTTGATCCGGATGAACTTAAAATCCGGTCTCAACTCCGATTCCTCCGACAGGCACTCCAGAATGCATTTCGAGACGAAATCCTTGCACTTCATTTCCGAGACGTCAGGCCGGCAGAGCCAGTTCTTCTGCGGATACATCACGTTCTCCACTATATCTGCACCATTATTATTATTATTATTATTATTATTATTATTATTATTATTATTATTAGTAGTAGTAGTAGTAGTTTAGTAGTAGTAGCAAGATAAAAGTAGTAGTAGTAATAATAATAGTAGTAGTAGTAATAGTAGTTGTAGTAGTTGTAGTAATAGTAGTAGTAGAGTAATAGTAGTAGTAGAGTAATAGTAGTAGTAGAGTAATAGTAGTAGTAGTAGTAGTAGTAGTAGTAGTAGTAGTAGTAGTAGTAGTAGTAGTAGTAATTATATAACCGTCACAAATTACCGGAGATATTTATTTTCAACTATAATAGGCGTATTTAATTTCAATTATTTCAAATTTTTTTCAAATTGATTTCAAATACAATAACCCGTTATAAATAGGATGAATTATGATAATTAGAGTAGCCCACTTTTGGCGGTCAAGGTCGTTTGGCCCCAGGGTCCAGCCCTGTCATGAATATTAAATAGCACGAGTCCAAACGAGTAGACGTCCCCTTTTTGAGTACCCCTCGGCTGAATGGTACGGTCCCGCAAAATTTCCGGGGATTTCCAGATTAATTCTGGTTTCGATTTGAGGATTATTTTAAAATGTTGGCTGGTTTATGACTAATTAATACATCTTTTCAGATAAATCGCATTTGCTTGGTATGAATAATGAGTTATTCATACATTCACTCATTCATTCATCCATTCATTCATTCATTTATTCACTCATTCATTCATCCATTCATTCATTCATTTATTCATTCATTCATTTATTCATTCATTCATCCATCCATCCATTAATTCATTTATTCATCCATTCATTCATTCATTCATTCACTCACTCTCCCACATGACTTGGTTCTCCTGTTGTGGGTACTGCCCCATCCTCAACCCGTGCAATCCATAATCAGTAATCTGGAGAACCCACCTAAGTAATAATAATAATAATAATAATAACTATTTGATTATTATGGTCATAATAAGAACGGGTGTAATCGCAAATCTACAGTCTAAGAACGATTTGAAATAATAATCATCCATTCTTTCGTTCCTTCGTTCCTTCATTCATTTATTACTTGTTTATTCATTCATTCATTCGTTTGTTTGTTTGTTTGTTTGTTTGTTTGTTTGTTTGTTTGTTTGTTCATTCATTCATTCATTCTTTCATTCATTCATTCGTTCGCCCGTTTGTTCGTTCATTTGTTTGTTCGTTCGTTCGTTCATTCATTCATTCATCCATCAAAATAATTCGTTCGTTCGTTCATTTGTTTGTTCGTTCGTTCTTTCATTCATTCATTCATCTATCAAAATAATTATTATAGGTATAATTATTTATGTAATCACCCACCTACTATCAACCAAGCAGTTGGATGTATTGAGGTTTCCGTGTGATATTATATCACTGTCGTGTAAGAATATCATACCCTGTGTGCGCGTGTGTGTGTGTACGTGTATGTTTGTGTGTGGTTGTATGTGTATATCAGTTCTGTACAAGTATATCAAAGTTGTGTGTGTCTGTGTGTGTTTGTGTGTGTGTATGTGTGTGTGTATGTGTGTGTGTATGTGTGTGTGTGAAAATGGTACAGTAAAACTAAAATCCATAATTTTGAAATTATGAATTAATGGTTATTAGAATCTTCTTTAATTATTATATGGTGAAATTATTTTAGTTCCAAACTCTGATGAGATCAAAAACGAGTGAGGCCACAAAGACGTCATCCAAATGTATGTCGCCATTCTCCAGTATGTCCTGACAAAAATGTTTTTTACTCTGAAAAATTAAAATTACGGTCGTTATCACCACCACTATCATCATCATCGCCATAGTCGTCGTCATCGTCATTCTGAACCTTCAAACTCCCTCTAGAGCAGTACTGTGTTACTATGCAGACGTGGAAAGGTTCGATGCAAGCCCCTATAAACCTTTGTTTGTTTGTTTGTTTGTGTGTGTGTGTTTGTTTGTTTGTGTGTAAGTGTGTATGTGTGTGTTTGTTTGTTTGCGTGTGTGTTTGTTTGCGTGTGTGTTGTGTGTGTATCGATGTATGTAAGTTTATATCTCTATCTTTCTAGAAATATCTATAAAATATACTGAAAAAATACCAAAAACATACACAAACCAGAGCAAAATACTTACTGGCTCTAATAAAGACACTTAAATTGTAGTTAAAGCTCTGCGAAAGGTCAAAAACTCTTGCAATTTACAGGCAAAAACATTTCCAAATCGCCAAAAAATACACCAAAACTCTAAAAAAATCGACGAAGCCTCGAAAAACCTATTCAAATTATCATGAGACAGCTCCTTCATGAGCAGCAACTCTCTCTTCATCTCTCTCGTCAGCTCAATGTGCTTCTTCTTCAGTGCCTTCACAGCGACCAACGAGCTTTTGTATGAGGCTATCCTGGCGTATGAGTCTGTTTTGACGTTGGGGTGTTTGGGGTGTTTTGAGGTATTGGGGCGAAAGAGAGAAAGAAAGAAAAAGAAAAAAAGAGAGAGAGAAAAAGAGAGAGAAAGAAAGAGAGAGAAAGATAGTAACAGACAAAAAAAAAGAGGGAAAGTGAGAGGAAAACTTTTTGAACGAAATGCAATGGGTCTTTTTTGTTGAGTTATGTAGTGGTTTTGTAGTAAAAAAAATTGAAAAAGATAGATAGCGAGTAGAAGAGAGTAGAATAAAGAGAAAGAAAGGGAGAAAGAAGGAGAGGAAGAATGAGAAGGAGAGAGAGAAAGAGGATATTAAAAAATGTTTTATTCTTACTTCTAGATAACTTGATAGAGTCACGGCTACCATCTGTTGATAAGTAACTCAGCCTCCCGAATCTTCCTCTCTGGAAAGATATAATGATGCCGATGATGATGCTTCATTCATTCATCATTTACTCGTTCATTTATTCATTCATTCACTCATTCATTTATCAATCACTTTGTTCATTCATTCATTCATCTCTCTATTCATTTATCCATTATGTTGTTTCCCGTCCTCTGATTGGTTAGTTTAAAAAGATGGCCTTACCATCTTGTCGTTCACTGGCAAATCATGATCGAGGTCAGCCATCAACAAATCTTTGAAGTCAATTTTCCATAGCAAACTCGCAACTTTTTGCTCGTACAAATAATGTCTGAATAAGAGAACGAACGAACGATTGAATGAATGAATGGGTGAATTGATTGATTGAGTGAATGAATGAACAAACGAACAAGCGAATAAATGGATGAATGAAGAATTGATTGAGTGAATGAATGAATTAACTGGCATAATGATGACGACCTTGTAGTAAAAATAGCGCCAGTTACAAAAATGGAACCAAACGCCAAACAAATCAACGCTATTGGCCACCCTAAGATAAAAAAAGAATACAAAAATATTTTTTATTACTAATTATGACAAAACAGTAGAGAGAAATAGGGATGGAATGGTAAGTAATAAACCGACCGGACTGAATTTTACACTTTGAATCGTCGAATCCACACTTCGGTTCACTTTTCGGTACTTTCCCGCCGACCCAATTTATCTTACGTTCGTATATGAAATCCTGATGATGATGATAATGACGATAATAATGATAATCAACATTAAAAAACCAGCCAATCCTCTAACAAACAACCAACTAGCAAGCCCACCAACCAACAAACCAACCAGCAAAACAACTAGCCAGCCAACCATCCAACCAGCCAACCATTTAGCCAGCCAACCAATCATCCAATCAACCATTCATCCAGCCAACCATCCATTTAACAAACAAACAAACCGGTATCTCTGTTCCTTTAGAGATGAAATGGCCAATAGGCCTCAGTGATTTAGAAACTTTGTTGTGTATCATGGCATCTTTATTCACGTAAATGCGAAAGGCATCGTCTTCATTTTGCAATTTTCTTCTCTCTCTTGCACTACTACTACTACTACTTTTACTACTACTACTACTACTACTACCTCTACTATTACTACTACTACCACCACCACTACTACTACTACCACCATTGTTACTACTCGCACTGCTGCTAAAAAATCCTGCAATTTTGTTACTAATAGCTGCAGTTACGGAGCTAAAAATAGTGGCCGAAGTAGTAGTAACGATCGTGGAAGTAGTGGCGGCAGTGGTAGTAGTAGTAACGGATGTGGTAACGGAAGTGGTAGCGGAAGTAGTAGCGGAAGTAGAATGTTCTGGGAAATCGGTAAAAGATAAAATGTCGTCGTCGATGAGAGCAACGACTGTGTAGTTGGCTTCAGCGTCGCCATCCTCGTCAATGTAGATGGTGTGGCCCTGGATGCCTGGAGCAACAAAATGATGGATGGACAGATGAGTTGATGGATGGACGGATGGGTTGATGGATGGGTTGATGGATGAATGGATGAGTTGATGGATGGGTTGATGGGTTGACCGACCACCCAACCAACCAATCATCCAACCAATCAGCCAACCTATCCAATTAATCAACCAACTTTC